GGTAAATGTGTGGCGGATGGTTAAACTTCAGGGACTGTTTTCTAAGGTATTTGTATTATTGAACATGGTTAACCTATTATATTGTCAAAATGTAGAAATAAAAGTGTATTTTTTCTGATACTTTGAAAAGAGGCTTTCCTTCTTTTATGACAAGTGAGTTGAATAACAAAGTTGAGTGCATTCTTTCCAAAGCTGTTTTTCTATAGCACACAGTAGCAGATCAGACATTACAGGATCAATTATTTCAAAAACAATGACAAAGTTAATACATTTAGAAATATTGTGGAACAGTTCAATAAATCTAAAGTCAATTTAATAAAAGTTATTTCAAATTTGTAATAATCATTTTGAAATTAGGGGTAAGGGCTGAGCTGTCCCAATTTTTCAGTCACTCAATAGATGGGCCAAATGGTCCTACTTGTATTTCAATAAATATTTGTTATGTAAATAATAAAATATAAATCTACATAGTACCTTTCAATTGTATCTATGTACATATCAATGTTTACTTGATTTTTGGATCCTTCTCACAGTATTTGAAAACATAACTTAAAATTATGTATATAGGGTTTTGACTTGCACAGAATATTAAAAAAAATAAAGAAATCTTTTTTTTTTCAAAGGGTTATGAAGGAGTCCCAAGAATGGAGAAGTCATAGGGTTTTGCAGGCTCTCAGATTTGATTGAAATGATTTACTTAAAAATTTATAATAGTTTTTATGCATACACTTAAAAACATTAATCTAAATTCAGATTTTTGAAAATTTCTAATTTGACCCCACAATAGGGATCAAAGGAGTTTTCAAAGCTTTCATTATTAGATCCACAGATATTACAAGAAAATTGCCGTGGACATGAAAGGGATTATTTAAAGTAAGCAACAACTGATCAATTTCCCAAATTTTCAAACTGGAGACTGTAAATGGGTGATCAAAGTTAGGGAATTATAATGATTAACTGAATTACTGACTAACAAGAAATGTGTAAATGGTCTTTAAAAACAAGGTTTGTAGAATGCTTTGCATCCTCCTAGTTTCAGATAAATTTTCTCATGTAGTTTACGAGTTCTTTTGTAAACTGTTAATAACAGCAATTATGCAGTTTAGTGATTGTTGAGGAGCTCATGCTTGTTACTTCAGACAATATAAAGCATAAATAATGTAAAACAACATTTATGTAAAACATATGTATGTACAGTTAAAAGGAATACAAATTAAAATCATTACACAATAAATAGTTATTAAAACCCTACCTTAAAAAGACTCTACATATGCTTTGGTATTCTATGACAACATCTTCAGGAATAATGGACGAGGTACGATTAGGACTTGTATACCCACATAATCATTTACATTCCTGTAGCGTCATCTATTCTTAAACTACTCAAGGTTACAAAACCTCTGTCTAGTATTTTATTATTTCCAGACCTGGACCAGGTTCCTTGTTTAATATGATATTTTTGTTGTTGTTTTTTATTATGATAGTTTCTCCAATATTTAATTCTACCTGATTTATCAACTTAGTGTTACTCCAGTCTATAACACAAGATGTTTACACCACAAGTTCTGCTAATACCAATTCATTTACTTGTATTTTTCTACCATGTTTTTATATTCCTTGATCCTTAATTTTCAATTTCTACTCATTTGGTCAATGTAAGTTTGGTCACAGATACACGGAATTTTTTAAATCCCACATTTACCAATTTCTTCTGTCCTATCTTTTGTACTCATGAGACTATTTAATTTACAATGCAGAGAGAATGTTACACTACATTCTATGTATTTTTTCATTATATTATCTATTCTTGTAAATAAGCCTTGAACATATATAATCGATAACATGAGAGTTTGTTTGCTATATTTTTTCTCTAACTATGTACGTGCCAACATTCTTAATTTATTGATATGTTTATGATGCAATCTGTCAATAATTTTGACTGTCACATTATATAATGCCACCCACAGCTGAAAGGGTGAGAATGTTTGGTGGGATGGGGATTTGAACCCACTACCTGCAGATTGCAAGTCGTGTGCCCTAACCACCTGGCCATGCCAGGCTTGATTTCAGGTTCTAAACACAAAGGTGGATAATTTTGGTGTCCATGGGTGACACAATCTATTGTGTTGTGTACCACCACAAAAAAATGGCTTTCTATAAACAGAAGTTGAGACATCCATTATCCTGTTTGATGGACATGTCTAAGATATTTAGCTGACCCTTTTTTTCCCATCTCTTATGTAAATCTGATGGTAGAACTGATTGAAATGAGATGTTTTACAAATTCCATTAAATTCTCAATGTCATTGTGCCACACTAAAAACATATCATCTACATACCTTAACCACACTAAAGGCTTCATTTGTGATGTGTTGAACATCTTAATTTCGAAATAGAGATTTTGTAAGCAAAATGAAATTTGATATGGTCAAGTGCAAAATTATTTAACTAAGTCTACCTTATACTGATCCATGAAAAACAATTAATTTCTTATTATATTGCAACATCATAATTCACGTGAAGTATAAAATGATAAAGCAGGTTTTAAAAAATTCAGATTGTAATTATGGTGGAAGTTACAATATATTTTCTTTTAGATACATATCATGAGACTAAGCTTTTATCACTGTTTCAATCTCTATGTGAAATTCCACTGAACTGGAAGTCATATGGGCTCATACATTTGACATGAACAGAAAAAGAGCTTCCATTACGTATTTAGATAACTAATCTATAAATTCTCAAAACTGAGATATGTTCCAACATGACAAATGAGACTGTGAAAAGTTAACAGGTTAATTATTTATGAAAGCACACTTGTATTAACGTTACAAGGTCAAATTAGTATCATTTTGTTCAAAATTATCATGTCTTTCCTCCCAGAAGCCTACGAATGACATATTATGCTAAAATAAATTTCAAGAAATTCACAATAATGATTTCATTCAGAGCACACTGAAATCAACTCACAATCAAACCATGCAATTTTTACTTATTTTTTATGTATAAAATTAAATACATAAAACTTCTTTTACTGAATAAATTTCAGCTCTGAAGTATTTTTCCCCTTTAATGTGTTGAAGAACAACTACAAGTTTATTTTCAATAATTTTGTTTTAATTGAATGGTGCAATTTTCATCTTTAACATTATCCAACTTAGGAACTTTTATTTTGGGCTTATTACTTAATGTGCAGTGATCACTTTCTAAATTCTGGCTACTCTGAAGTTTATTCTGTTTCACAAGAAAACTGAAAAGCAACACTTCTGCATCCTGATTACAAAAAAACAGTAGAATTTCTTTTCCTTTCATACTACTGCCCTAAGCTGGACTTTCTGGTAATCAAGAACAAAATAAAAAATGAAAAAGGTTATGAGTTTGAGTCTAAGTTATAGTAATCAGTGCGTACAACAGTTTAAATTCATACTAACACAGCCAACATCAGTTTAATAATTATTCAATGGATCTAAAAAAAAGGGAAGTGCTCAACTCATGCATATGGACAATGATCAGCTTTGAAAAACTAGTGAACACACATTACAACACAATTTACAATTGGTAGTTGGTTCTAATAAACTGATAACAGTTATATTTAGTCAGGGTATGATGGTATGACAATCTTGACCTTTGCCTATCTGAAACACTATTTTGTGCCAAAACTTCACTTAGCTTCCCACTGAGGCTGATATATATATATATATATATATAAAACCTGCATTTGCATTTTGCGGACCAATGCATCTAGCATATGTTTTGTACATTTAGCTACAAAAAGAAAATTTATAACCTCCCAAGTAATATTTTTTTATTATTATAACCTATATTTCTAAGATATATATTGTATTACTTATAGATAAAAGTAATATTTGTATAGAATCAACATATGTTTCTACTAATTTCACAACACAGGAAAGGAGCAGTGGGACTAGTAGTTTTGGTTACACACTCCCACAAGCTCAGAAAGGAATGTCAATTGATTGACACAACAAAAATGAATTAATAAATCTACATACAAATTCAGTACTATAAAAACCATGAAGTCTATAAGTAGCTGAATTAAATCAAAATAAAATAAACAGCAGCCATGCTTAAAAAAGCATTAATTAAACAAATAAGTCTGCTCTTAACAACAACAAAAAAATGAAGGCATTTAATAAAACTTTTCAAATATACATATACATATATATATATATATATATATATATATATATATATATATA